ATCTGCCACCCACTCTAGGACCAGGGCAGTGGTGGGTTTCAATTTTTTTTAGAACCTCTTCTGTAGGTGTGGCCTGCTTTGTGGGAGTGGCTTGCTGGCCATGTGACTGAGTGGGAGTGGCTTCACAGTCTTGTGACTGGGTGGGCGTGGCCAAATTGGTAAATGTGGTGAAACTCACTTAATAACACTCTTGCTTAGCAACCAAAATGTTGGCTCAGAAACTCTGGCATTTGAAGCACGTAAGTCTTAAAGCTGTCAAGTTACAAAACCCTTGCACCCCTAACCCTTTAGAAAAAAAAAACCTAAGGGTGTTCAAACTTGACAGCTTTAAGACTTTAAGGTTTAGATAGGACTCTTAGAGGCAGGCGGGGCTATTGGTGAACTAGCCAATCAGTGAGCAGCAGGCGGCGCAAGCGTGGTGCGGACGGGTGTGGGGGAGGGAGCTGGAACCCGTTCTAAACAGCACAGTAGATTTGTGGAACCTCTTCTATAGAAGAGGTTAGAACTGGCAGGAACCTACCCCTGGACTAGGGAGGCTCCAATCTTTTTCAACCCAAGAAAGCCATTTACACCTGGTTCTTCCAAGGAGGTCCCTCTAGAAAATGGGTGTCGAACTCGTCACCGTCACGTAATGTATCATGACATTTTTCCATTCGCGAAGGAGTAGGCATGGCCTGCATGTGACGCATCCGGCCCATGGGCCGACAGTTTGACACCACTGCGCCTAGAGACCGGGATTGTTTATATTAGAAAAAAGTTTTCTTGGTGCACTAAGATTTCTTTATAATGATTTTATTAAACATTACAACTAAAAAGATAAAAACTAACACAAATTAAAAGAAACCCTGCAAGAATAAAAAGAAAGAAATAGAAATGCAAACTTCACCTAAATATAGAAAGAAAAGTAAGCAATTCAGACCACTGTATAATGGATGGATAATGACTGATCTTTTAGCCTTCTAGCATTACTCATTCTGTAACCACAGAAGCCCAGAAGATGATTCCTTTTGTTCTCCTGGTATTTTCCATACTGTTGATATATAATTAAAAAGAAGAGCCCTACCAAACTAGCAACTCTTCCAGAACAAGATTAATACTTAAACAGCAACAGATATGGACAGGTGAATTAAAAAAAACAAACATCTGGAGAAAACTTTTTTTGCTTCAAGCAACTTGTAGCATGGCGAACATATTTCCAGACATGTAATGCTTTTTTCATATTTATTTGGAAGACAAGGTTTGAGGAACAGTCATTTTTCACCAAGGAAGTTTTAATTGTCAGAAAGCAGAAATTATTAACTTCCTCTTTTTCAGAAGACTAGATGGAAATTTTTGAGTATTGAAAATAACTTGGAAAGCGTGAATGTTTCCCCTTCTGCCACATTAATGTATTAGGAGAGGTGTAGCATGCAGCTCCCACTTGATCCTCAAAGATTTACCTATAGGGAATCCATATCACAAAACAGCAAGAAAATCCTTTTATTTGCGAAATGGGAGTGGACTATTAAGTGAATATCTTAAATCTATTTATTGGGATAAATGATCAATTGTTGCAATTTTTAATGTAAATATCACTGCAAGTGGCAATGTTCTCAGCCAAACTAGCATGTGAAATCCAAGTTTGAGGTGGCAGATGTAAGGGCTTCAAAATCCTCTGTAGTATAGTACTAGAAAATCCTTTACAGACATTATTTATAAATGTAATAACAGCAATTTAGAATTCATTTTTAGAATATGCAAAATCATATGCTAAAAAAGTCTAAAGAGTCATGGAAAAAGAAATGGGAATGTCTAGTACATGAATATCAATAGAAGACTATCTTGGCATTTATTTATTATTCATGATTTACATAGACACGGGGGATTTAAAACTACAACTAATGCAACACAAAATATCACTGTATTTAATATGCACTCCCCGGTATGTCTTTTCCTGGAAGAAACTAATGGGTCCAACTGATGATTAGAGATATGGTACTCTAGATGCTGATTCATATGTTACAATGACGTGTGATACTGCATTTTCTTTTGGACAGAAAATATTTTACTTAGCAGTGAGACTACATCAGCTCCAAATTTACCAAGAATGATATTGGGTCTGCTCTGTTCAAATGTGTAATTAATGACTTGGATGACACGGGGGAGGTAAGATTGTTTTAGGAAAAAGTGTAACATTCTTGATCTCATCAATACAGAAGACACTGAGGAGAGGAGAGGCAATTGTGACAGCTTTATGACCTGTGGACTTCAACTCCCAGAATTCCATAGCCAGTCCTGTTGAGACAGGAATTCTGGGAATTGAAGTCCTCAGGTTGTAAAGTTGCCTTACCTAGTTGTCCAACCTTGTATTAAGGATTAAATATGTTACCTGTTAACCAGGTTCTGAGGCATAGTTCTGCTCAGGTGGCAGAAAGCAGAGTAATGTGCCAATCATGACATTTTTAATGTTTCCTTTCAATTTTGTTGAATTGAAACTGATTTAGTGTTTTGCTTCTCTGATTTATTTCTCTGATTTCACAGCACCAAGCAATTTGGAAATATGGTACACTTAGTTTATCACAACACAGTAGATTTCGCTACTATTCCTTAGTCTGTATTGATAATTAAAAAACAACGGATTAGTTTTTATTTTTAAAATGCTTGCTATCTTTTTTGTTTTGCCAGATTAGTTTATGTTCACATAACAGAAAAGACACATATTTTAAAATATCCCCACATAATTTTCATTAATGTAAATTAATTGTTAAAATAGTGTTTGAAAACCTCCGTCTTAAATTATATTTGTTCACTGCTAGAAAAAAAAACAACCTAATATCCAAAGCAGTTTATCTGAATATCGGTTGAATAACACCACCAAATTGATAGATTATTCGCCCTAGAAAAACGAATGAACCCCTTGAATCCGAATATAGTATTTTTCCCCTACATCTCGGAATTACGTGAGAGTAAATCTCTATGGAGACAACCATGAAAAGAAGAACAATACCAGTAAAGCTGCAATGTACGATATCATTAACCTTGGGAAGGGCTTTCTTTCTTCATGGAGGAGCATCGCCCTGGAAGAAGGAATGCCATTGCTGAGTCCAGACTCTGCCCAACTCCGGGAATCTTTTAAGGAGGGGTCGCAAGAAAAACGAACTCAAGATCCTTGCTCGCTTGGAGCTTCTCCTTGAAGCCCCCCCCCCTGCAGACCCCTCCCCTTTGCAAGAAATATTGCAAGATAATCCCTCCAACCGAGAACCATGGTCATCCCCCCCCCCCGTCACTATAATTTATTTATTTTTCTTTTTGATGGCCGCTTTCAATCGTCCTGGGGAAATTTCTACCTTGTGATGTTTAGCCTTTCCGCCTATACTTTTTCCATGCCTCAAATACGTAATGCGATCGAGCTTTAAAGAGCAGAAATCTCAAAACGATTTCACACTTTCCGTTTCTTTCAGGCCGCAATTAAATATATGCATGGGGAACTTTGGTCTGATCGGCATTGATTTCTATTCTAGACTATACAGAAAAATGCAGAAAGGCCATTATTTGCATGATCTACTTACCGATATTCACTGAAGAATCCCAGTTAATGAATCAGCGCTGCAGCCTGGAAATCTACTTTTAACAACAATGTCGATAAATCCAAGCGGCGGAAGAGCCTATATATCCCCACCCCTTCTAAATCTAAACGATTATTCATGAGCATTCCTTCAAATTAAGAGTCCCTGCCCAGTAAAAGAAGAGAGGATATGTTCATACTGTACGGTAAGCACTTTTGCTCTGGGAATACTGCCCTGCAAAGGATGTGAGTTCAAACTGCATGCCTTAAAAATCGCAATAACCACTGTTGTAGTTATTAATTTTTATTTTTATTTATTAAATTAGTGCATTTTATGTCCCCTATTTCCCTTACAATGAGGATCTTTTTTCTAATTGTTCAATACGTTCAATATATTTTAATAATTTATTATTTAATAAATATCTTATTAAATATATTTAACAATTATAAAATATTTTATTCCCTAATCATATATTGCTCTATTAATCCATTATTGTCCCTCTCTAACTGAGGGGTTCCCAATGTTTCTCAGTCTTGACAAGTTTAAGATCAGTGGACTTCAACTCCCAGAATTCCCAAACTAATATGACATTTTCAGGGAGTAGATTCATTAATAAAGTTACCACTTCTAATTCTGTTTCTGGTGTGCCTCTGCAAGCCACATACATAGTGAAATAGGTATTTGGAGAACTACAGTAAGAGTCCTTCACTCCTCTGCTTGCAACAGAATGCCTTATGGCAACAGAATACCTTATGAACTGAACCCAGAGACTCATTGAAGTTCATCAACCATACATAGATTTTAGAGAAGCTACTGTTTCTCTAAAATCTATGTACGGTTGATGAACTTCAATGAGTCTCTGGGACATACTTCTTTCCACATTTCAGCTGTTCTAATATATTCCACTTCAGTTAATACTATCTTAATATCCACATTATAAAAGTTTAATAATTTAATGAAAAACAAGATTTCATTAAAATGTATCTATATGATACCAAACACATGTCATAAAATAAATTAAGTGATTTGTTTGGTTTTATGTCAAGGCAATCCACCTATAATGGTCTGTAAACTGAAATTTGTTGAATATGGTGTGAATCCAACTATTTGTGGATTATTAATAAACCATGCTCAAGTCACGGTCTAGCACAATGACTACTAAGGAAGGAAATCTGAAAGTGCTAATTGATTGACTTGTCTTTTTATCTAGCATATTTCTAAGATGATAAAAGCAAAACCTAAGAACAAAAACAACAAAAAATAGCAACAACATAAAAGCATTGAACATGCAATAATAGTTGGAAGTGATCTTTATGAGGTCTTCTAATCCACTCACTGCTCAAGCAGGAGATCCAATATCATTTCAGGCAAATGGTTGTCCAGTTTCTATTGGAAAGCCTCCAGTGATTGCGCACCCACAACTTCTGAAGGCAAGCTATTCCATTGGTTGATTGCTCTCACCATTAGGAAATTTCTCCTTAATTCTAGGTTGCTTCTCTCCTTGGTTAGTTTCCATCCACTGTTTCTTGTCTTGGCTTTGGGTGCTTTGGAAAACAGTTTAACCCCCGTCTTTGTAGGAGCCTCTTAAATATTGGAACATTGCTCTCATGTCATCCCTAGTTCTTCTTTTCACTAGACTAGACATGCCCAATTCCTGTAACAGTTCTTCGTACGTTTTAGCCTCCAGCCCCCTGATCATTCTTGTTGCTCTTCTCTGTACTCTTTCTAGACTCTCAATGTCTTTTTTATATTTGGTGACTAGAACTGGATGCCATAGTCCAAGTGTGGTCTTACTAAGGCTTTTAAAGTGGCAGTAGAATTTCACATGATCTTGATTCTGTCTGTCCCTCTATTAATGCAGCCTAGCTATTACCATAAACACATTAAAGAGCCTTAGAGAAGACTATGTAGTATTTTCAGTTCACAGTTTCATCCCAGCTTGTGTTGTGGTCCGCCGGCAGCCTCCGGAGCTTGCAACAGAGTCAGACAATGAGGAGGTTGGGGAGGAACATAGATAAGGTGACCAGATTTTCAGATTGGTAAAGAGGGACACCTTTGACCCGGGGGGGGGGGGGGCTTGATTAAAAATTTTATACGGAGCAACAAAAATTTTCATACAATGCAAAAATAGTATTGTAATATTTTTTTATTTCAACATAACTACAATTTACAAATATAAATTGCTAAACATCAAAATTTTGATCACGTGACCATGAGGATGCTGCACTGGTCGCTAAGTGTGAAAAATGGTCATCAGTCACTTTTTTCAATGCCATTGTAACTTTGGTCACTATACCACCTTTCTTGCCACAGTTTTTAATTGAATAACTGCAGCTGATAAGTTAGTAGCATAAGTGAATCTGGTTTCCCCATTTGACTTTGTCAAAAGGTGATTATATGACCCCAGGACACTGAAATCATCATAAATACGAATCTGTTGCCAAGCATCAAAATTTTGATCGCGTGACCATGAGGATGCTGCAATGGTTGCTAAGTGTGAAAATGGTCACTAAGTGTGAAAATGGTCATCAGTCACTTTTTTCAATGCCATTGTAAGTTTGGTCACTATATCACCTTTCTTGCCACAGTTCTTAAGTGAATAACTGCAGCTGGTATTTTGTATTTTGGATAGAATCTTTTTTTAAATAGTCTAAGACAATTTAAAAAAAGAATCCACACAGAATAAATTGAAGTAAAACATTTCAAAGTATTGTGCATAGAATTTATTTTGGATAGAATCTTTTTTTAAATAGTCTAAGACAATTAAAAAAAAGAATCCACACAGAATAAAAATATTTTAAAAAATCCTATGCACGATAAATAAAATATTATTTTAAAATACATTTAAAAAAATAAAAGAAAAAAACCCAGTTCACTTACCAGCAGGCACAAGTGAGCATTCCAAGTCAATCGAGAATGATGTAGATGTTTATACAAAGAACTGAGCAACTTAAAATGGTGAAATTAGTCAGGGAAATATTTTTCAAAGAAACTTTGCCACCATTTTGGAGCAACCTCCAACCTCCGTGCCCCTCCCCTCCGGAAAATCCAGGAAGTAACAGTCACTTCCCTCTCTAGCCAAGTGTTTCCTGCAGCTCTATGGTACTTGGTCATTTTTTCTTATAAAAGTGAGTAAAAGGGGTGCGGGGGGGTCCATTTTGTTGCTTTAACGTTTTAATATCTTAAATGAAAGTACTGAGACAGAGAGAGGGATTAGACAGGGTGTCTTTTGTCTTGCCCTGGTTAGGATTTCTTAAGCAAATCCACTGGGCTTTCAACATGAAGCCAGAAAATCGGGACTTTTTAAAAATGCAGCGGGAAACGGGACAAATTGTTATAAAGCGTGACTATCCCGCTGAAATCGGGACGTCTGGTCACCTTAAACATAGGCCAGTCCTGGAATTTGGGGAAGGCTCAGACGAGGGCTCTGCATCAGAGGCAGAGAGGAGGCCGGGGCCATCTGGGAGTTATGTGCTGCCACTGGAGCCTCCAGAGTCACACATCAGCAAGGCAGAGGAACAGGGGGAGTCTGTTCCCAGTGTGTGCATGCGCAGAGCTGCCAGAAGGCAAGAGCAGTTAAGACAAAAGGGGTGACTCAGGAATAAGGCTTCCAGATGATTGGTCCCTCCCATAAGACATAAAAGAGAAGCAAAGGCATGTGAGCCTTTGCAGGAGGCAACTTTGTTCATTCAGATCAGTTTAAATCTGAAGCTCCATTTTTACTCTGCGCTCCATGTGACCTTGCAAAGCTAATTGGCAATTAGGTCTTTGGCAGCGTTTCAAGGGAGATAAAGGTGGGTACTTATCAGCCTTCTCCCGAAAGACTGTGGCAGACTTCTGTTAGACTCTTTACAAACTATATTTGTGACTCTTTACAGGCTGTGAATGAACATAATTCACAGCCGTTGAAATAAAAAGACGGATTTTGGGACTAAGCATGTGATTTTTACTGTCTCAGGAAGGCTAAGTCAGAACAGTTTGTAAGTTGAGGACTACAATGTATTGAGGACTCATCAGAGCCTAAGGTTTGGGCCCCATAGAATAAATTAACTCTATCTGATGTGTCCTCGGTAAGAGGAGACCAGTCACATAGTTCCTGCCTCCTGGTGACTCATAAACCCAAAAACACTTCATGGAATATACACTGTGTAATAAAGAAATACACCTTTTGGAAGTAAGGTCTAAGAGCTTGATGGGGGGTAGGGGTGGACTATATATGGCATTCTTAGGAAGCACAAAGGTATTTAATACAGAGATCTCAAGCTTTAAAGTGAACAGAAAGTGAAAGAAAATAGAGACCAGGAAAAGTACATATAAGTCATTGTACCATGCCTGCCATCTTATGTTGACATACTGTATCCCTATGATCATCATGGAATATTTTTCTCTCCCCCCCCTTGACATTTTTGGGGTTGGTGGGTACATTTGAAATTTATTTTATTTTTTATTTTATTTATTGAATTTATATGCTGCCTTTCTCACTGTCAAGGGACCCTTATTGAGAAAACGTCTTAAATGTTGGACATATTATTTCCTTTCATCAGATTGTTTTTTTCTTTCCATGATTCAGAATAGTTTCCTATTTACCATCTTTATTCTGCTACTGTTATGCACATAAAAAAATTAAAGCTGGAATAAGCAAAGGCTATTCCCTTTGAGATCCTTCATGCTAACATCCACGGCATTATTTTCAGTGGTGCTGGAAAATCCTGTTCCTCTTGATAAATATAGATACTGTACATAATGTAAATTTTTGCCTGTTATTTGTTGTTGTTGCCGTCTATTTTTCTTGCTTTTTATCCTGGTTTTGCCAGTTAACTCTATTTGACATTTGCTGGGTGTTTAATAAATAAAGATCAGGCTAGATATTTTGCTAGCCAAACTGAGTGGCTTCTGTGCTTGCTCTGATCTGGATAGAGAGAATGACTGAGAATATGCTGTAGACAAAGTAAACTGGAAATTCCCCTCAGTAATTTCCAGCAATAAGTGTGAGCACACCAAACTAGTGAAATTACTTCCTGCTATCCATTCTTCCTCACAAGGTCTTCTCTACTAGCTCAATCTACTTTTATTTTCCAAAGGAAGCCTGGGTTTTAATCACCTACAATATTTATCTTCTGTTTCTGAGAATTATAGTGTGTTTAATAGATTTAGTTTTGTCCTAGCCTCACCTATTTAAAAAGTGAAACGGACTTGGCACACCCCCTCAGGGAGAAAAAGTTGTGCAGGCCTGCCTGCCCTAGACTGAAGAAGACTCTGATCTGGTTGGCTATCATGGAGTTTTGTTTACATAACTTCCAGGGAGAAGTAAAACACAATTCCCCCCACCTCCACTTATAACACTTCTCAGGAATACCGTGATGCACGATTGGTATACAAATTATTTAAATTGATGGTTTCGCCTGTATGACTCTGAACGTAAAGTGGCCGTGCACCGGTTTGTTCAGAGGCACCAGTTGATATTGCAAATGTTCCTTGTTATTAAATACAACAAATATTAGCACGCCGGCTTGGTTTAACTCCGCAATCATAAGCCAACGTTTGGGGCCGGGAGGGAAGGGGAAGCGATTAGCTGTCCCGCAAGAGCGGGGCCCTTTCGTCCCGCAAGGTTTCGCTTGGGCTCTCCTGCCTCGGAGCAGTGAGTGGCGCTAGTTTTGAGGGTGCGAAATCCCAACCCCGCCCTATCGAGCAGGCACACGAGGTCAACCCAACCCCGTCTGGACTGAATTCACGGAGGGAAAAGGCGTCGTCAGAGTGGAGCGCCGGTCTTTGGAAGCGCCGCCAGTCCCGCGGGCAGTTCGCCAAGAGGCGGAATAGGTCAGCACTGGGGCGACACACAGAGAGAGATACTCAGAGGTTGCTCCGAGCGCGGACGGTGGCTGTGTGGCGGGCCAAGCTCCAGCACCTTTCGGAGCCGCCTTTCGTTTTCATTTTCCGGAAGGACAGCGAGCACTGCCTGGGCTGAAAGAAGAAGGCTGGTGGGGAATTGGATTGGCTTCTGGGCGCATCCGGACGATCACCGGCCCCGCGGTTCTTTCCCCTCCACTCCACTCTCCTTGTAATGCAGGTAAGGAGTTGGGGAGAGGAGTAGGCGCTCTGAGCCCTCGATCTTCCTTGCTCTCCCTGCCCTGTCCCAGCGCCCTCGATTTCCTTCTTTCACGTCCTCTCGCCCACTGCTCATCCATGCCTGCCGAGGTCTGACCCACCGAGGCGGCGTTTTCGCCGGGCGGCTTCCCTGATCACCACATCCCTCTCCTTCATACGGTCTGGAAACACGGGTTGCATAAATTGAGGCGTTTGGAGGAGGGCAGCGTCTCTGAGTACTTCCCTCGCTTCGGAAAGCGTTGGGGTTCTCTGGACTGAATCCACGGAAAGCTTTTCTCTGGTGGTTCAAAAGCAAATCGTTTCAAAATGGACAAAGTCCGGAATTCCCCAGATTTTTCACAAGAAAAGGGAGACGTTAAGCAACCAGCTACGACACTGAGCTTGTCGATCGGCAGTTGCGATCCCTAGCACAGGTTTCCTGCGTGAGAAGGGGGTTGGACTAGATGAGCTCTATGGTCTCTTCCAACTCTTTTACTGTTTGTTGGTCAAAATTAATTCGGGTGTGAGTGAATGAAGCTCTTTCAAATGGGAAAATAGGGGATCGCTTATTCTAAGGCTCGATTCATGCAAGCAATGCTTAAAGGCTTTTCTTTTTTAATCTGGGCTGTATCCTTCCCTTTATCTTTAAACTCTGGGGTAGAAAGTGGAAGGGAGCTATTTTAAGCCTGGAGTCTTGTGCTGCAGTGTGATTCCCATCCAGCATTGCTTCAGGGCATGTTTATTTATTCACTTATTCATTCAACCAATCAATTTCTATAGCTGCCCATCTCAAATAAGTATTCAAGACTTTTAGAAAGGCAGATAGAGTCATGGTCATCCTCAGCTCTGAAAGAAGAGTGATCCAGAGCAGGGGTCTCGAACCTTGGCAACTTTAAGCATGGAGGACTTCAACTCCCCAAAGTTGCCAAGGTTGGAGACCTCTGATTCAGAGGACAGGAGCTATGCCAGAAGGCAAGTCTCTTAGGAATGCTGCAAGCCAGTATTCCTTAACCCATGGGACTCATAGCATGCCATTGTTGGGAAATATGGGTACTGTACTTTAAAACAAGCAATAGTGCCTGATTGGGAAAATTTACTTCCAATAAGGGCGACCTTATTCCCTCCCTGAATTTCCCATTCTTTTCCCATTTAGCCCTCTGCTTTAGACCAGCGTTTTTCAGATTTGGCAACTTTAAGATATGTGGACTTCAACTCCCAGAATTCCGTGGCCAGCAAATGGAGTTGAACCTCTGCACATCGTAAAGTTGCCATGTCTGAAAAACGCTGATCTAGAAGACCATGTGTGTTTTGCATTCCTGTATGAGAAGCTGTAGAAGCCTTATTTTTTGTAAGTCAAAATACATTTCTCCACAATCAGAGAAGGAGGACACCATCTATGGGAACACTTGTTTAAATCATGCATTATTGTTGTGTACACGGACATGGAATGGTACTTTTTCTTTTCAAAGAAAGATCTTTGGAAATCATTTACTTATTTACAGGCAAGTTGCATGGATTAATATACTGCTTGGCAGGACGGAGCAATTTTCAGTCAAATTAAAAGTGGGTGCATCTATAAATATAGATATATAAAATATCAAACCAGTAAAAGTGACACTTATTATGCTATACCATTATAATTAAAGTACAGTACTAAAAATATTTTTTAAAAACAAGCTGCCAGAACAAAACTGAAATGAAAAGGATGTAGGCATCTTTCACTTTCGTTTTCTTTATCGCCTGGTGTTTAAGAATGAATCTGAAACTTTTTTTTGAAGTCAATCTGAATAAGATATGCATGCAATGGTAAAAGAATTGCAGCTGCAAAATCAACAATGGTTTTTGTGATATGATGAAGAATAAACATAATTTGTTTATTATGGAATATACATTCAGGAATTAAGAGTTTGCTTCATCAAATATTTGGTGAACTCTACTCTTAAGCACGGTACCTAAACTTAGGTATTTATTAATTTGTGAATTTTAACAATCTACAGCTGCTTTATTTTCAGATTTCAGGAGTGTCTGCAGAGTGTGGGCAAATAAATTAAGATGGTGTTTTAATGGTGAGATGTGACACAAAAATCAGTGGCGCTTTCATCTCACCATCATAGCCATCTTGCCTTCCCCTCCCTCCCCATGCCCTGCACATGCCTCTGCTAGGTAGGTGTGTGTTTGTGTTTGTTTAACTTCCCAGACTCACTTCATATGCTTAATCTCAGCTCCTAATTTCTACACACACACACACACACACACACACACACACACACAGAGAGAGAGAGAGAGAGAGAGAGAGAATCTCAATTTACAGCAATGTATAATATATATCATGGGCTTTGTTTAAAAAGATACACATAAACAGTTTAATGTAGACAGGGGTGTCAAACTCGATTTCATTGAAGGCCGCATCAGGTTGTGTTTGACCTTATTGGGCCAGGGTGGGCGTGGCCAGCTCAAAATCACTCGGGAGTGTTGTGAGCACCTGTGGTGGCCTGAGCGTCTGTTTTCGGCTGCGATTGTGTCCTGCAACCCTCTGCCAGTGAAAATGGAGCTCGGGAACCAATTTCACCAGCCAATTTGTCCAGCAGATCTCTCTCCCTCCCTCTCTCTCTTTCGCACCCCTGCCTTCTCCCCTCCCCTTCTCTTTCTCTTTTCTTGCTTGCTATTGTAGTCACCCCAATTGCATATCCCTCCTTGATAAACACAGTTTCACTAAACCACAATTTTCAAAAATGGCTATAGTGATGTCTAACGACTTTTTCTTAATTACTTAATGCTTCTCGCCTTTTATATGTCTGCAGCTTTTATCTCATCTTTTCTCTATGTATTTGATCCATTTTATCCACATAGCAATTCTGAGATATAGTTTAGCTTTGGAGACAATTGTTGATCCAAGTTTTCCCACAAAGACTAGAGACAATATTTCACCTGGGTCTCTCTCCTGCCTATTCAGCAGACTTTCTGCTGAAGCATATTGGTTTTAGTTACATTATAAACATTTTACTTCATAGATTCTTACTTATCCAGCTTCTAGGCAGGGCAGAGTAACAGAAGAGGCATTGGGGAAATACATCTGAGTTCCTATACAGTTTCAGTGTCTTTCTCCTCCCTTAAGGTTGAAGTGACAGCTGGCTCTTTTACTCCTGTGGCTACATCATCTTTGCCCTTACCATTGCACTCCACTTTGAAGACGTCAGTAAAGTCGCTCTATGATGGACAAATCTGCACATTGCCAGGCCGACTAAGTGAGTAGAAGAGGTCTTATTTAAGGCAGCTTTTCAAAGGTGGTTCCTTAAAGCTTTGGATATATATATTTGTTTTCGTAGATTTTCATGGGTGTAAGTATGCTGGTCTTGTTGTATTCGGGTCTTTTCCTGTGTAAGATTGAGATTTCAATCTACACCTACGAAAACAAACATACATATATACTTATACATATACATACATACATACATACATACATACATATATATTCTTATTGTCTGTATTAAATGAGTTTATTTTTATTTTGATTACACTTAAATTAAACCTAATTTAAATTTTAGCTTGGTGCTCCTACTTTTTGGCGTGCACTCCACTATACCGTTTGTGGTTAAGCAATCTTGGCTTAGAAAGTGTTAGCTGCACCTAATGTAAGGACAACACTGTACAGATTAGTTGTCTTCTGCAACTCCAGTATTCCCCAGCTGTAGTCATAGTCCAGGACATCTTGAGTTGCAGTGTATCAGATCAGGCAAAAAATTGCCTGCAGTTGGTAGGATTCTAGCCTGATACATCTTGTAGACATCTGGTTGAGGAAACAAGGAGTAGATAATCAGTTAGTTGGACCTCGTGGTTCCACCACAAAACCGCGGACGACAAAATTGCGGTCGACGAAAGCGCGTATGTGACATCATCACAGTGCGACGAAAAAGATAGAAAAATGTAAAAATAAAGCCAAAACCTTACCCTAACCCCCCCAAACCTAACCCTAAACCTAACCCTTAACCTAACCCTAAACCTAACCCTAAACCTAACCCTTAACCTAATGAAAAACCTAACGCTAACCCTTAACCTAACGCTAAACGTAACGCTAACGCTCTAAACCTAACCCTAACCCTAACCCTTAACCCTTACCTTTATGTGAATCGGCTTGCTGTAATTTAATTTTTATTTCAATTTTTCGATCTTTTTCGTCACGTTGTGATGACGTCACATACGCGATTGCGTCGACCGCGCTTTTGTGCAACGCGGTTTTGACGGGTCACGGGACCTCATGTAAGATTGCTTCCTGTGACAGAGAATATTCTTTTTTTTAAAAAAAATCTCCTTTTGAAAAGTTATTGACCTATCTTTAAAAACTGGAGAGTGTTATTTGTTGGAGTGAATGAGTTCTAATAATAATTGCTGAGATGCCCTTTATTTGTTTTTTTGAGACATTTTATGCTTCTTCCAAAAGAAGGGCAAAAAACTGACTGGGTAGATTTGTTAATTTACATGTAATCTGGTTTGATTTCAGGAATCCAACCCTTTCTATGGAGCAAAGATGATGTGATTCATTGGCTAAGATGGGCTGAAAAAGAATATTCACTCAGGAAATCTGATGATAGTAACTTTGAAATGAATGGAAAAGCCCTTTGTATTCTCACCAAGGAAGATTTCAAATTTCGGGCTCCTAATTCAGGTTAGAGGTGTTGCCTCCTTGGTCAAGGCTTTGTGTGTTTGCATTCTTATCTCGGAATTATCCCATGTAGCAAGTATAAATGAGAAATAATTCAAAGACTATGAGATGCATGAAGTCTCTAATGTCCTTTGAAATAGATTTGCCTTCCAAATTGTGTTTTATTATTGACAATAACGTATTGGTTGAACCAAAGCCCATGGATCCAGCAGCTTTACAATGTGATAGATGTCTGATAGAAAGAACCAGGTAGTGGCTGTTTGATCATGCTTATATTAATACATGTTTTTCAAATTGTATTTCCTTGGGGCAGGAGGTAAACTAATTCAAATTGAATGTGCTGAATGCATTGCAAATTTTAACATAAAATTTCAGATTCCCACAAACGTGTGCAATAAAACTATATTTCTGGTTTGCAAACATTAGAAATTCCCCAAGTTGAAATAGTTGAAATAGTCCTTTTGAAATAAACAGCAAATGGAGGGGGTCGAGGTACTCAAAAATTGCATCATTTTTGTCACCAGTTTGTATTGATACAAATGGAGAGAAATTGGCATTTGTGTTTATTTTCTCACAGGAGATGTATTATATGAATTACTCCAATACATAAAGACCCAGAGAAGAGCTCTTGTGTGTAGCCCTCTCTTTAATATTTCCTTTTGGGATATAGACCATAACCTGACCCAGAGCACTGCAGAAGGTGAGTGCTGTGGAACAGTGGTTATATGCATCATGCTAGATAATCTTTGGCTCACATTTTGGGCCAGTATCTACAGTATACAGAGGATACACAGGCAAAAATCCATACTGATCCTCCAGAGCAGGGGTCTCCAACCTTGACAATTTTAAGACTTGTGGACTTCAACTCCCAGAGTTCCTCAGCCAGAAAAGCTGTTAGTGTGAAGTCCACAAGTCTTAAAGTTGCCAAGGTTGGAGACCCCTGCTCCAGAGGGTTCCATATAAAGTTTTCAGCACCTCATTTCCTAAATTAGGAATTACCTCTTCCTGAGATATTGCAGTGTTAATGCTCGAGCTTATTGGTTACCATACTGACAGAACAAGTTTAATTAATAATGTGCCATAAAGTCTGTGGCGACCCTTAGTGACCACATAGATTGTCTCCAGGAGGTTCTGTCCCCAAACTGGCCCTTAGTGTCACTGATCACTGATGAAATTCAGTCAGTCCAACTTGCTTCTGGTCATTTCTTCATTTATTTTCTTCTATCTTTTCCAACATTATAAATTTCACAAGGGAACGGATACTTTGCATAATGTACTCAAAATATTATCTGAACCTGGTTGTGCCTCAGGTGGAACTCTGGATTGATGCATTCATTGAGCCATTTGCTTGTATTCTTTATCTAAGTTATTCTCAGGAGTCTTCTCCAACACCACTAGAGCACCTTATGGGAGGTTAACTATAGTTCTGTAAGCAAAGCATTCCTTCACATAACTTTCTAATTTAAAGATATGACTCAAAAGAAAAACAATGGTTGGGGAGTTAAGATGAAAGTCAACTGTGATTTTTATAGCAAAGCCCCAGGAAGTGGCTCCTGCTATACTGTATGTCTTTTCCCTTGATACATCAGTTAGGATGGCATTAGCTTAAGCAAACCAGTATTCTGACTCAGTCAGTTGAAACTATCTGTCTCTCTGCTGCCTGTCTGCCTACAGTAAAGTTTAGGTAAATAAATAATGAATTTGTATGGATCACTATCATAAACATTTACAAAATATTCAAGAATTGGTCTTGGCACAAATAATCTGAGACAGAGTTTTCTTCATATAAAAGAAATATATGACCAAACAGACTTCAAAGATGACCATGTTCATAGCAAAACAACCACAGCTAATGTATCTAACTGCAGTACCTTCTGTTACATCAATTCCAATCCAATTCTAATCCAATTCCAGTGGATTAGGTGTAGACCTACCTTTCCCAACCTGATATTTTTCAGATTGCTACACTATATTTAGTGAGCTCCAGATTGAAGAGGGCTGGCTTAGAAAATGTCAAAAGCTGTTTTGTATCTGGTCTCCTCTCACAGGTACCAAGTGCAACTTAGAAGATTTCCCAGATAAGGTCCCTGCATTGCCTTTGGAATATCCAACAATCTTCACTAGTCATGCAAGTTACTCTGACTCATCTCAGTCTTCTGCCAAGACACTCTGTACTCCTGGGACACCTCTTGTTTATAGCAACCCAGAGATCAGCCATTGTGGAAACATTTGCTCTTTTCCTGTAAAATCTGCTGCTCCGGTCAGTGGGAAAATATCAGGTAAGGGTAAGGTTACCAAGATGGTATTGTTTTGCTATTCAGTTGACAGGATTGCTTACCTGTTCTTGTACATCAAGGGCATTTGCTCCCCTCCCCTCATTGGTTAACAGCACAGATTTGGAAGCCTGGGAATCCAACTTTATTCACTACTCAGCTATGGTCACTTGCAAATGCATCCTACAGCTGTCTTTAACAGTGGTGCAGTGTAGCAGGAACTAACCCTTGTTATTCTGTCTTGAACAACATTTCTCTCAATGTCACTAATTCCCAGACTGTAGGTTACTTTTGGATTACATCTACCGGCTCCTCTCTGATAGCCAGTATGAATCATTTATCAAGTGGGAAGACAAAGAAACCAAGATCTTTCGGGTTGTAAATCCCAATGGCCTTGCTGGACTCTGGGGTAATCAAAAGGTACTAAATAAGGCAATCCTTCTAAATTCCATAAATAGAGATAAATTTCTGTTCAGATGCACTGATTAGGACTAGCACTCTCAGCCTACCTGGAGGGCACCAATTTGTATATCTTCTATAGTCCCACATGTTCTTTGGAGATAACAATGTTATATTCCCAAGGTGTGGGTAAATGTGCCTCTTCATTTGCCATAACCTTGGTCAGACTTCCTAGACTTCCTAAAAGTGGAGCTGGGGGTAGGGCTATCCTGATCTCATAATGAACTGTTATAATGACAGATTAAATGGGAGCACAGGAGACGATTTGATATAGTCTGGGACGAAGGGAGTACTTGCATGTATTTATTATACAGGATGTCTGCCTTGACTTTCCTATAAGAATTCAAGGCAGCATGCACCGGCATTCCTCATTCAATCGTCAGAACAATTTGGCATAATAAGTTGGGCCAAAATATTACGACTGGCCAGAGTCAGCTAGCGATTGAATGGGGATTTAAATCTGGGTTTCCTAGGTCTTAGTTTGCTGTCTTATCATTGCACCAGTGCTTCCCTTTTACATTCTTTTAATTCTAAATTAATTCATAAAGCTAGTACTTTAACTATATGTAAAACAAGATATTTATGTTTGGATACACAATTCCCATCCTATCTCCACTGAAAGAGGTTATGCATGCAGGTTTCCTGACAACTCTTTTCTAATTCAAATTAGTAATTAGGCAAGAGAAAGCAAACTCATGTTGTAATCACAATTTTAAACAATTTTCAGAACCGAAGAAATATGACATATGAGAAGATGTCAAGAGCATTGAGGCATTATTATAAACTCAACATCATCAAAAAGGAAACTGGACAGAAATTATTATTCAGGTGAGGTCAGGATGTATCCCTGAGCCTTCCCTGAACATTTCGTCTCCCACAGTCCTTGTTCAGTAGGTGCTTTCTGCAACTTAAGAGAAACAGAGTAAAAATTATTCTCTTAAATGGTTTCTTTAAATGATTGAGATGTGTAAACGGCCAGGTTTCCTGTATGAATGACCCTATTGATACCAGAAATGAGAAGATGATACAAATCTTTTATTATGTAGATTAAGCTTTTGAAACCTATTCAGAATTGAAAACAGTGGCAAAAAAGTAAAAAGAAAGGATAACTCTGGGAAGCTTTAACTCAACAGGAATCTTTCAGGAACAGCCACATGTCCAAAATACAGCGCAACAAAAACACAGCACAAAAAACAGCCCATAAATTAAATCTTAGAAAGGATTCTAAACTGTATCTAGTTCCACATTTCAAAGGATGGCTATTTTCTTTCAATCTCCAACCTTTCTCTGGGTTGAGTTGCCAGTCTGAAGAGATGCTTCTTCTCTGGGAATGTAAAGCAAAAGAACAAAAACACAAAAAAAGGGGGAGGGAACAGGATTTCCCCATTTATTTCTAAAGTTGTTCTGATGGGGAGAACCTTCCTGCTCCTGCTTGGTTGCTCAGAGTTCATCTTTTTCAGGCCTTGCTGATTTTTGCCCAAAGGGTTGAATCAAAGGATTAACAATATCTGTTATCTTGATAGGAAAGATGGGATATGTTTTTATGTTGATATTTTTCCTGGTTGCCATGAGCCGCCTAGGAATACCGGGCAAGATGGGTGGCTAAATAAAATTCATAATTAAATAATCTTGACAGGTTTATATATATATTCTAATTTTTATGTATTTGGGGGAGGGATGTTTTTCCTCCTTCATTACAACTTTATCCTTTGAATCTTGGAAATTCTGGTCCATAATCCCTTGTCAACAAAATGAATTACAATTGCATTTTAATATGACAAATTTGTTTTGAAGTTCTATGCAAATAGAACTAGAAGCACATTTTTTTATTTTAAAGTATCTTTTCATATAAGAAATCAGGGATATTAGCATATCCAATACAACATTGTTTGCCTTCCTGCATAAACATAAATATTTTAATAGATACGATCAATCCCTTTTCGTTCCTAGATTATGTGTTGTTGTGTATATCTCTGTGTGTATTACTGAAAGGAGCCGGGAGGAATAGATTGGATACTGGATTACCAGGAAAAAAAAGTTGATTTTTTTTAATGCTTAATTCCAGATTCCTAAAAGTTCCTGGAGAAATAAAACAATACACAGCCAGTAAATTGGAGTAGCTGAACAATGAAGAGCAGAAAGGAGAGGACTCAATTTTTTTTAACCAGAAATCTCACTGTAGACATTTGCCAATTTTGCCATGTCATAGTGGCATCAAGAGCTTGTATTAATCAGCAGGAAAATATTTGATGTCTATATGAAGACAAAAAACAAAAAAGGCCTTGAGGAATTGTGCATCCTGTAAATGAAATGCAAAGAACTAATCCATTGGACTTCTGCTGTCAAATGTAATAGAAGCAATTGTGCAAAACAACGTTTAAAAACTGAATCAGCAAATCAATTCTTGTTCCTGTCAGTCATGTTGCTATAGAATTACTTAGGTGTTCTCAAAGATGCTCTCCTACCCATATAAAAATACTTCATGGGAAATTAAACAGTTTTTCATCTGGAAAAAAACAACAAAAAGGCTAATATATTTGCAATGATCATTGTTACAGAATGCTTTGAGAATAACAGAGTTGGAAGGGACTTGGGAAGTCTTCCAGTTCCAACTCCCTGCTCTAGCATGAAACCTAGAGCATTTTGGACAAGTGCGTGTCTAATCTCTTCTTAAAAACCTCCACTCATGGAGCACCCACAATTTCTGGAGCAAGCCAGTGATTAATTAGTCTAACTGACAGGGAAATTCTCCTTAATGCTAAGTTGGATCTCTCTTAGTTAAGCTTTTATCCATTACTTCTTGCCTTGCCCTCAGGTGCTTTGCAAAATAGGTTGGCCCCCTCTTCTCTGTGACAACTTCTCAAATATTGGAAGACCGCTATCATTCCACCCATAGTTCTACTCTTCATTAGACCAGATATTCCAAATTATCACAACCATTCATTGTATGCTTTAAGTTTCAGTTCCCTAATGATCTTTGTTGCTCTTTGCACTCTTTCTAGCATCTTTTTGTGCAGTGGCTACCAAAACTAGAGGCAGCATTCCAAGTATGGTCTTACAGCAGGGGTAGTCAACCTTTTTATACCTACCGCCCACTTTTGTATCTCTGATAGCAGTAAAATTTTCTAACCGCCCACCGCTTCCACAGTAATGGTGATTTATAAAGTAGGGAAGTAACTTTACTTTATAAAATTTATAAAGCAGTTACAGCAAACCCTTACCGCCCACCATGAAAGCTGGAACGCCCACTAGTGGGCGGTAGAGACCAGGTTGACTACCACTGTCTTACAGTATAAAGTGGTACTAATACCTCATGTGATTTTGGTACTATCCCTCTGTTGATGCAATGCAATAAAGCATTGGCTTTATTGCAACTGTAGCACACTTCTGGCTCATTCTTAAGTGATTGACTCTTAGATCCGTCTTACTTGGAGCACAACAAGTGAGAGGATGCTACAGAATACAAGATCTCTTACTCTGTAGTGGGTTTCCTCAGAAGAAAAGGCTGTGGGAGTGATTTATGGGAGCACATTGTGACCTTTGTTGCCAGCTTCCCCATTGAATTTGCCTATGAGAAGCTGGTAAGAAATGTTGCAAATGGCAATCTCATGACTATGACTTGTTGCCAAGTTTTAAAAATGGAAATAATTTTATTCTTAGAATTAATACAACCTGAAATTTACAAACCTAAGTATTAATTGCTTCCTGTAAGTATTGCTTGATTCTTCCAGCAACCATTGCTGGCATTTCATTGCTGTTAGCACCACTACTAGTAAAGGGAAGGAAAGCCTGCAACAAAAAAACTCCTTGATTTGTAAAGTAATAAATATGATTTGGGACGGTGTTACCTTTTTTCCCAGGCAGTCCACTCTAGGTCACTGGGAGAAAGAAGGTAAATGAATCAACCACCTATAACAAATAATCTTTTGGTGCTGCTTTCACAGGTAAAAGTTTGCCGTTTCTTACAGATAATGTAAGCTTGATAATCTCATCAAATCGCTGAGTGCTTTTAGAGATCAAAATCAAAGTAATTAATTATATTTAATAAAGTTTTTATCTTGTACTATGAAGTTTCTATTGTTTATGTTTTATAAGAGATAAAAGGGATCTGTAGTAAAATATTTTTATTTATATCCTATGCTGCTGGATTGTTGCTGCAGTCACTAGATCTTCATTTTCTTAATTCCTTGACAATTTTGCAGCCAGTCTTGCAATCCCTCACTCTTCCCCACCTAGCAGCAGCCATTTACTTGCCTGCTGGGAAGGAAGAAGGAACTCCCATGAACCCTTCCTGGTCATGCCACCTCCCACACCTTCCCACGACCTGTGCCCCCCTCCACTTGCCTTCCCTAACCCATGCAACACCTGTTGCATACCCCATGTATCTTCCATGATCCATGAGGCTCATTTTGGGGATCCCAGTGTGCACCTTCTCAATCCAGACCCCCAAATGCCTTCCCTTGCTCTATAGCACCTTCTCCTTGCCCTGCATACCTTCCCCAACCCTTCCCCTGTGCATGTTCCCTGACCCATGCAGCACCTCTTAGGCATCTCCATTCTGATCCATGCTACTCCCATGTGCTTTCCCTCACCCTGTAGCACCCCATGCACCCATCCCCAACACACTCTCCGATCCCTGTGATGATTCTTGGCCACTTGCATGCATTTCACAACCTGTGCTGTCCCCATGCACTGTCTCTGACTTGCACAGCACCTCTTGCTCACTCCCAAGAATGTTTCTCAACCATTTCCCCCACAGACCATTGCCAAATGATAAGGTACCTCTCTCACACACAGATCTTCATGCACCTATCTTGACCTACTTTTCCTCCATGTAGCTAACATGACCCTCAGAGCACCTAACATGCCCCCCCCAACACCCTTCCTGACCTATGCTACTCACCTATCTGCTCTTCCTAACCTGCATGCCATCTCTGGCAAATTTCCTTCACATCCTTCCCAACACATCCCCATGCAACACCTCTAGCACCCCTCACTTCCTTCCCCACCTCGCAGGACCTGGTGAATAAACTGGTACATTTACTGAAGGTTTTTTTACCCTCAAATGTCCTGCTGTTGTGCAGGACATTTAAGTGGCATTATTAGCATCTGGGGAGGCAAGGGGGCAAATGACATATATATCATGACATCAGCCTGCACATGATGAAATTTAGGTATAAACACATAATAAACACAAAGCTTTTGCTGTGACTCGGCATAACAGATGTAGCGCCCTTACTGACCCTAATGGGGACACTAAAGAGACAGGTCAAGGTAGTTGTGATAATGACGACTCAAATAAGCAGGGGATCATGGTCCAAAATGAAGAACTTACTTCGGAAAGGCGAAATGGGGAACTAGGTATCACACATCAGTTGCCAAGAAGAGCAAGGTATGCAAAAAGAGAAGTCATCTTCTGATTGGTGATTCAATCACAAAGGATGTAAATTTAGGAAAGGATATAGAGCTTCAAAAGAGGTCAGGTGTCTGCCAGGTGCTACTGCTGGCAGAGACAAGAGGCGTATTCTTAAGAGAGCAGAACTATTTAACTCATGTTTTGCATCTGTCTTTACACAAAGGGGTAAAATAGTCCAACCTATCAAAAACAGCACCACAAAAATCAGATTAGGAATACAAGTTGAAATAGGGAAGAAAATGGTAAGTGAGCACCTGTCTACCCTAGACAAGTTCAAATCAACAGGACTGGATGGATTACACCCCAGGATGGAACTGGCAGATGAGATCTCAGAAACACTGAACTATATATTTCAGAGATTCTGGAGCACTGGGGAACTACCAGAGGACTGGAAAAGAGCTGGATGTGGTTCCCATCTTCAAAAAAGGGGAAAAAGGAGATCCAGGAAACTATAGACCTATCAGCCTGACCTTAATACCAGGAAGCATCTGGAAAAGATAATCAAGCAACAAATTAGTGAACACCTAGAAGTAAACAAAGTAATAGCCAAAAGCCAACA